TAATTTCTTTGCTGTACTTGGTGTTTTGTCCACACTTAACCAAGCATGTTCAGCTGCCGCCATCTCTGACTCCAGGGGTCACATGGGCAGCATGTGAGTGGAAAAAAAGCCTGTAGGTAAAAGAAGGAGGAATTTGGACTGAGATCAAAGATTAGCTTCATTCCACTGTTTCCTATGACTTTTTACTATCCCATCTAAATTTGGCATTTTATGAGATGTTTCTTTTATTCTCAAAGGTAAAACTAAACTTGAATCAATCCAGGACTCCTCTGCCTCTGCTGGAGAAATGCATCCAGTTTGATGTGCTGGATGGGTGTTTCATCATTGCATTCCTGATTTCTAAGAGCATTCAGTATGAAATACGTAGTGCATGGGTTTGTTTTTGAATTCTGTTATGAAAATGGTCACTATAGCCCTGGTTAAGTTACAGAAGAAGCTTTTTAGAATACTTAACAGTACAATTAACTGTGACCTTGTCTGGGATACTTTGTTTCCTACAATGAAATGAACTACTACATGCTATTGATATTGATTGGAGCAAAGGGCACTTCTGGGCACCTTGTATCACTTGTTTTCTGAATATCTATTCTCCTTTCCTACTCATTGGGTAACAAGATGGAGCTCACTCTCATCCATCTCAGTCTTAAGTATTCCGTGTAAAATAATCAGCAGCTCCACAGGAAGTGAGAGGCACCGAAAAGCTAGAAAGCCATTTTTACTTGTTTTTCATGTACTGTTAAAAATAATTTTTACCAACCATTTAAGAATACGGGACATTTAGAAAGTGACAATTTTGACTTCCACCCAAATAGTAGTTAAGTGGTTAAGATTGACATCACAGTGCTTTAGGACAGTAGTGAGGAAACCATCTCATAGGGCTCATAGCTAAGATCAAATGCTGGATCTCAGTGGAAAACCCTGAACTTGTTTATTGGGTGAGTACCTCAATTCATTCCAAAACTTAAGACGATATTGTTCAATATGTTTTTTGTTCTCACATGGAAGCAACTTTGCTTCAGTTCATGTTCTTACCACTTGACCATTGCATCATTCAAGCTTTGTTCTACCGACTAGATTCTGGGGATTCCTTTTCATGAGTGACACTGTGATACTTCAGAGAAAAGCAAGCGTTAGATGGAAAGAAGCTCAGGCATGTCTTTAGAGCATGCATTTCTGTGTGCAAATTTATTCTTGCAGTGTCAATCTTTGATAAGTGCAGATACGTACAAGTGTTTTCAATGTGTGCTATATAAATAAGAGGACAAGGAATCATGTGTTCTCTGATTTAGAAAGACTCATAAAATAAATTAAAATTTGAGTTCATGAAGACATCAAGTAGATGACAAAACTGAAGAGCGAGAAGACCATTGATTGACAAGAACTGAGCAGAAAGAAGGCTGGAGAGGTTGAGCACATGGAGTCTTAGGGCAGTCATAACTGTTTCTTGTGGTACTATGATGGTGGACACATGTCACTCTGCATTTGTCAAACTCCATGCACTTGTACAACATAGAGTATGAAGCATGAGTGTAGACTTCAGTTCATAATAATGCATCATTATTAACTTAGAAATTATAGAAAATGTAAAATACTAATGTAAACTAGTAATAGGAAAAGGATATGGACTACAATCTACTTCCTGTTCTTTGTAACTTCCAAACTACTCTGAAAAATAAAATTTATTAATTATTTAAAATGTATTTGTTTTAAAATTAAGCATTCCGTCTGTAAGTTCAGAAAACCTAAAAATAAAATATTGTGCTGAAGCAATTATTTTATTTTTATGTATTTACTATGCAATTATTCCTGCAATTGGACAAGTTTATATGATATGATGAGTTAAAAAAATTGAAGAAGAATGTTCCAATTTGGCAATATGAAAAAGTAGGTGTCTTCAAGTACTCTGGCATTAAAATATCTTAAAACATTAAGGTAAATATAAAAAAATACTTCTAGATTTATTGATGGCATATGGAAAGATGAAGGAAGTTGAACAGATATTATAGATGTTGGTTATTTTAGAGTATCCATCTCAAAATCTTCGTTTTCTGAACATTGTTTCTTGCCTGCTAGAGCAGTTAAAGCATGATCCTATAATGGCGGGGGGGATCTGACTGAAGACCAAGAACAACAACAAAAGGTCAACTCAAAAGAAGAAAGTGCTGCTGAAAAATGGCAAGCCTGTTTGATTTATCATTGTGAAGAGAAGAAAAGGAAGCTAAAAGGAAAGAGAAAGGAAAGAGGTGGAAAAAAATCAAGTTTATGGATGTGATCAAGCTATCCAATCCATATTTATGGTGAATATGCAGAACCAACCCTGCAATTGGAGATGGTAAAATGAATCTAGATGACAGCATCTTAAACATTTAGCAGAAGAAACCAAACTACACTCTGCTGGGCTTGAAAGACAGACTGCATTCAATTAGGTGTCCTAGTTAAGTCTGAAACAGCCAAAGCTTTCCTCACCACCATCAAGCCTGTGGCAGAAGTCCAGCAAGGTTAGTTCTAGTGAATGGTTCCATGCTTACAACTTCTAGTAGCCTCATGGGCCAGAGAAAGAAAGGAAAAAACAAAACCAAACAAATGGTTTGAGTACTCTTTGGGGTTCCCTTTTTTAAAGGCCCTAATCTCATTCACAAGGTTATCACCTAATTACCAAAAGGCCCACCTGTGGATACCCTCCCTGAGGCAGTTAGGATTCCAACATGCCAACTCCAGGAAAGTGGGGGTGTGGCCACAGACACAGTCCATTGCACCAGGCTTCAAAGATTTCTCTTCTATAAACTGTATGTGAGCTTGAGAGACAAAAAATAAAAACAAAAGAAAACAAAACAGAAACAGGAAACTTAAAGGAACCGTGGAGATGAATCGACACAGAATGTAAAGAGCCAGCTCAACTGGAAGGACTTATAAGATGTAATAAGTGAAGCCTGCTGGAAATACAACGGATGCATAAAAGTCACAAGCATAGGACAAGAATCGACAAAAATACTTGGGAAATATGAAATATAAACAAATAGAAATGCTGCAATTAAACAATACAGTCACTTAAAGTTAACAATGGTCCTAAACAATGGGTTAGAAATTTATGAAAAGAAAGTTTGAAAGATAGTTTTGAAGGAAAAAAAACTATGTAAAGAGAGAAAATATAGCACAGAAATCAAACTGGAAAATATGAAGGAATTTAAGAGATATTGGTGATAAAGTTTATATACATCTCATTGGAGTTGGAAATGATAAAAGATTAAAATACATAATTTTTCAATAAATTTGAGCATATAAATAATAGAATGAATTCCTAGAAACATATCATTGAAGAATACATAGCATGAATAGTCCTATAATCCTCCAAAAATTGAATCAATAGTCAAAAACCTTTGTCATAGAGAATTCAAAGCCTAGAGGAAATACTTATCCAACATTCTGGGTCAGATAATGAAGACAGAGCTCTAACTATACCACATTTCATCAAAATCAACACGAGAATAGAAAATCAAATATTAGCCCCATTTGTGAACATACATAGAAAATCCTGAGAAAATATTGGTTAGATGAATTGAGCAAAAAAAAAAATAATGCATCAGAAGAAAGCTTATTTTATGCCCTAGGTACAAAGATGGCTTAACATTAGAAATACTGGTGAATGCATTCTAACTCATAATATTCCCAAATTGAAGGAAAAAACTCAGTCCATGTAGAGGAACAATTTAACCAAATTCTACAACAATTTAATAGTAACTTCAACTGAAACTAGAAACAGAAAGCTCTTCCCTTATACAGAATAAAACCATAATAATAAGGCATTGTTCATCCACCTGCTTAGCAAATCCCACCAAAGTCTGGCAAGGTTGTGGAAGAACAGAACTGGAATCCTCATGTGTACTGCTTCTAAGTGTGGGGGCTGCTGATGGGTCTTTGGAAGTAATCTGGCATTACTTAATGGATTTTAACTCACAATTTTATTCCATTCTCACATATGTGCACCAGAAGACTTTCATAAGGATATTCTCGGCAACACTTTTTGCAACAACAACAACAACAACAACAAAAGCTAAAAGTTTTGTAACAACAACATCAAATATCTATAGATAGAAAAGTGGGCAAGTAAATCCTCTAGACTTGAGTTGGCCTACTATACAGCAAAGAACTGTAGCTCCACGCATCGGCAGAGTTGAGAAAACCCGATGCGTGAGGAGAACAAGTTGCACACATGTGAAGCTGCTTTTGTAAGGTTTAAAGGAAAGCAAATTAAACAAAGAAAACCAATAGAATTTAAACGCTAACTCAGACTCCTGACTCCCACATGGAACGGAACTGATGCTATTGCAGAACAGCACATACCAGTTTTTGCCAGAAGTGCTAGCATATTTTCCTTAAGAAAGCAGTGAGATTGCTATGAATTCGCTTGTAGCCTATTAATGTATAGATGTTATTTATATGTTTTTGCATTTATCAAATATTTTATAACAAAAGACTATAAAAATTGAATCATACATAATAGTAGTGCTCTTTACAAACTTTCCTTTTATAATTAGGATCAATGATGGAGACAAGAAGCACAGGGTAAACAAATGGAATAGTTTACCTCATTAACATTAGTTCTGTGTGTGTGTGTGTGTGTGTGTGTGTGTGTGTGTGTGTGTGTGTGCACATTTCTAGGGAAGGGAATGTAGGGCCATCTACATCCTAATCAAGCACTCTACCACTGATTTACACATACAGCATCTTGAAGTTTGTCATCAAGTGGTTACAAATCCTGTTAGGTGAGACTTTGCTGTAGATTGGTGAGAGAATGCAAGTCTTGTAGTATTTCTTATATGTGGGATCTTGGGCTTTCATGCACTTGTCTGAAACACTGAGCTAATAATATGGGTGTTAAATGAAGCAGCACTAGAAAATGCTGAGAAATTACTCTAACAGAATAAATGCCCACTCACTGTTATGTGCTAGTACTTTTACTTGATTTAATACTTTGAAATGTTCTGTTTTTATTATGGTAGGCTTTGGTCATTTGACGAAGCAGCTGATGACATTGGCTGATGGACGCGTAGCATTGGCTCTAGAAGGAGGACATGATCTGACAGCCATCTGTGATGCGTCTGAAGCCTGCATAAATGCCCTTCTAGGAAATGAGGTAAAGACGAATAGTACACAATGTGGGGGTGAAAGAGAGAGGATGCATGCATGTACATTTTATTATTTAAACTGAGAGAAAGTAGAAATTCTACATAGCTTTCACCATGAAGGATGTTGCCACTAGAAGTTTCTGTGCTTTGATGTGACATGCTGTATTGTCTTCCCAGGTAGTGTATCCACAAAGCATTCCCACCAATCAAATTATTTACACAGCCGAAAACTGAGTAGTGAAAATGCTTGGAAAGAAGAATGTTTTGTCTGTTGACCAAATCAAATGAACATCAACTCATTCAACATGAGATTAAAATCTTTAAAGTTTTTGAGGTTTTCTGTAGGATTGCTAAGTCAGAAAAATAAAGCCATTTCAAAAACATCCTTAAGCTTTTTTTTTTTCATCATCATTTGAGAATGTTTTTTTGCTAAGGTAAAGATAGTGTCCTATCTTCCTGAGAGTGATGAGGAATCTCCTCAAGGTTGAGGACTCTACTGTTGCCCTGCAGCTACACTGCATGGGATCTAAGACTGGAACTTGAATCCAAAGGATGAAAGGTCCACAACGCACATCTAAGTTGCAGTGCAGATTGTTCATCACTCCACAGACTTCATGTCCAGTCACTTGACATTTGGGTCTAGGTCGGGACAAGATTTCAGGTCAATTCATTGAAGCTCAGCAACTGTTTCAATGCTGGTATGTATTGGTTAGAATCATCAAGTTCCTTAGGTTTTTATACTGAATGTATGGCAGTTTAAGGAGTTAGTTTTTGGTTTTCTTTTTTAGTTCGGGAGAGTATTTTACCTTTCTCTTGTGAACTTGAACTGGAAAGATATCTTTTCTTATTCATAAAATTGTTTTTGAAACCTACCTTTCATGTTTTTTAACAAAAACTTAGGATATTGCATATAAATTTGTGGAAAATTGTACCTTTCCTTCTGTACACTGAGTGCAAAACTTTTGCTGCTGTCATTATCATATGAATCTGAAGTGCTACAACATGATTAGTTTGCATATTTATTGAATACGTACATATATTTTTTAATTTGAAAGGATAATTGCAGCACGAGTGTCTGCCTGCCACTGTTATATAACTTTAGACAGCACTGTCTAAAACCCCCTGGCAAGGAGCTAGGAGACTGTAACAACTTAATGATCAGCACCCTGGCAAGGAGCTAGGAGACTGTGACAACTTAGTGATCAGCACCCTGGCAAGGAGCTAGGAGACTGTAACAACTTAGTGATCAGCAACCACAACTCTTCCACTTCACACATCATTCACAGTATCAATGATTAAAAATACAGTCTTTCTGTGATTGTTGTAAACTAATAATGCTAAACACAATGTGGGATTATTTGGGGGCAGCACCAAAGGAGTGTCAAAATGCTGTATCTACTTTGGGGGATTCATTGTAACATGCTCTGCTTGCCTACCAGATAACATTTTGGACCAGTTGTGTATGGCCTTTAATCACTTTTGTAAGCTTAAAGACTTTGAAAGTGTTTTAGTTAAGCGGAATGGTGGCTTACACCAGAAAACCAGGATAAGCTGGGCATCCTGGCTTCGCAGATGATTGTCCTGCCTAGAAAGAAACTTTACCCAGCAACATAAGCAAACTACATTTCCAAGTACCTGGAAGGAAACTACAGATCTAGCGGCTCCTTCAATGACATAATTAAGATGAGTCTTTTTTCCACTGAAATCTCACTTCCAAAGAGCATCTCCAGTGAAGATGGCATAATCTCTCTGGTGACCTTATATCTTAAGGAGACCGGGCTGTGACATGGAGGATAAAAGCATCATTCACTAGTCTTAGTCAGTCTGCAGGGGTGAGGAAATTGTGAATAAAGACAACCCAGGTGGTAATAACCAAGATTATTTGGGGGATATATTGATTATTTAACTGACTTTAATTCTCTGGCTACCTTTTGGTAAGGTTTATCTTGCAATTATAATAATTAATTAACATCTTGTCTCCTTTGACTGGCTGTCTTCAATTGAATAAGCAAAACCTAAAATTTATTCATCCTAATCTAAAGAAAGGGGAGTTTCATCTCATTGTCTCAGTTTTTCTTCCTGCTAAAGATTCTGGAGATGCAGACAGGAGTATAGATTTCCTACACAATACTTTAGGAATGACAGATGTAGTTGGTATATTGAACACTGAAAGGTAACTTTTGTTGCAGCAGATCTTTCTACACCCAGAAGAACAAAGCAAAGAGAAATGGGAGTTTTTAAAATGAAAAGTGGAAGAAAAATATAAGTGTGCTGTACATTATAATTCATTCGGAAAGAGGAAATGAAAGTGTAATGCTTGAAACAACTCAAGAAACAAAGAGTTCTCACTTTCATTGACAATATAATTTATAATCCAATGCCTGCCTTTGGGTACTTTTTCCAGGTCAAAAGTCATTGCAACCACATTCAAGTTTTAAATTTCATTCCTGCAGGAAAAAAATACATATATAAGGCATATTGCCTATACCTCACCATTTAACCAAAATACCCACATGCAATTTCCACAGCAGTTTTATGTGGTAATCTGTGGATAAGAAAATAAAAACGACATCTTTCAGATACCAATTACTGCAATTTAAAAATCCCAATTTCCCTCCAACCCCCCTTGCGGGTGATTAATAGAGAGCAATTATGACTTATTATCTGGGATTTCACTTCTACAAATAACAAAATGTAGTGAAGCTGGAGCTTAAAACACTGACAGAACCACCTAGCTTCCCAACCATGAGCATGCAATTGAGCTCAAATTAGAAAGGTCAAGAGGGCCTCTGTGAGGGCCTCTGGACTTCGTCAGATGTATTTATTCATGTGTAGGGGATTAGAATTCATAAACAATTTCCCAGTTTTTTAAATGCTATTGCTATTTCTTTTTCTTGTTGGTCTTGGCCAGGCCTGTCAATATAGAAAAATGCTGTTTCTTCTTCTAACTCATTATTAGCAAAATAATATAAATTTCATAACCCCAAAGAATTGTAGGATCAGCAGGCACCATTGGCTGCATGTTCTGTAGACACATAGATGGGTACCAAAACCCACTATTTTTAAAAATGCTGTCTAAACATTGCACCTTAAACAGGAATTTTCTTCTTTTTAAACATTTTCAGCATTAAAATGATCTACTTAGCGAAACATCTAACTGTTCTTTTAAGAAATAAGTACAAGATCGGTCAAAATAATATACCATTGGGTTGAAACTAACCTGAGCATGGTACAGGAAATTCCGGGAAGAGACTGATTTTTTTGAAATCATACTAGAAGTTTTTATTTTTAATTTATTCTTGGCCAAGTGTAGAACTGGAGTTTATCAGTTCAATCAAATTATGATGACTATTTTTTAACATTTTCACTGAAGCCCTTAAAAACTCTAACTTGGAATTTGAGAAATTAAATACCTAAATGAGACAAATCCTGACATTGATTGGAAAAGCATCAGGTACAGTACTGTGAACTGCCACGTGAGTTTAAGATTTAGTGACAGGAACACATGTGAAGTCCCTGGAGACTTTTATTTTGGTCATCTGTATTGGAGCTGGCTTAGCAAACATACAGTTTCTTTAAGGCCACATTCAATGACTATTCTGCAAAGCCAATTAGTAGCACCTCGGGTTGCTTCCTCTGAAGGGAATCTTCTTTAGAGGTGAGAAAAGCTTTAGGAATTTCCCATCCTTATGGAATCCAATCTGAAAACACACTTTCTAGTGAGAAAAGAAAAGAAGAGCAGACAGGAGCAGAAAGTTTGAGTCATGTGTTGAGAACATGAGATTGCAAAGGTCACAGACCCAACAAGAATAAAAATGGGTTCAAGCTTGTAGAAAGAAAGGAGGATTTTTGAAAGGTAGACTTGTATTTTCACAGCTATGGAAGCTGTTAAGGTGGTATTGCAGCCTCTGGACTGCCCTTACTCATTAAATGCTTGATTTCTGGTTTCTTTCCATTTTTTAAAAATCTTTTTTGGTTCCCCCTTGCTTTATCACTCCCCTCCATCCTTTCTTCTTTTTACCCCACTCCCTCTGTGTTTCCTTTCCTCCCCTTCTCCTCTCCTTCCTACTGTCTCTCCTAAAGTTCCCCAGCTCTTTTTTTTTTTTTTTTTTTTTTGTTTTGGACTGGGATTCCACAGACTGTGGCTGAACGTGGAGACTGTCTGTTTTTAAAGATGACTTTGTGCTCTAAAGATGCTGGGGAAAAAAAACTCTTTAACTGATTCCTGGTGTGTGTTGACAGACACCCCCGAGGTGAACCCTTGGGATACTGTTGTCCAAGTTGTTCACTTGTGGGACGAAGAGTGTTTGCATTGAATTTTACATAGAGACATTGTTTTGCTATCTTTTTCATCTTTTAGATTATGTATGACTGAGGCTTGGTCCCCTGGGGAATTAGTGTGAATCTGGGAACGCTTACAGTATTCTAAGTAGTTAGGATTCAGGAGTAGAGGATGAGGGATGAAAGAAAGTTTATGATATGCCAAAATGACATTTTACCCCAGTCTTCCTTTAGATTTTGATACCTGTCTACTCCAAAAGTAGTTGTATGGAGAACCTAAAGGGAGTAAAATTGTTTTGGAAACATATTTTTTGAATATTCTTTCCAGTATAGATATGACCTGTGAGGCTGATTTCTTATATTCAGTGATGAGTATGAGAAGTCAAACCATCTGCTTCAGGAAATGCTTCATGATCCAGATAACTCAAAACTACTTGCAAATCATCTGAGTTATTTCTGTCAGGGCTGTTCGGATAGAGTTAAAAGAAATATAGATTGTGACCTTGACCACATCATGGATTATAGTTACCAATAAAAGAAAGAAATAATTTTTTATAAAGAAGCAAACATGATAGAATGTTTCTATCTGTCCATCCATTATGTTGCTGTATATTGGGCATCTATTGTGTGACGAAAAGTTCTATGGCAAGCAAGAGTAATGAGGATATTGTTAAAGATCCTAGGAGTGCAGTGTGGGGATATTTGTTTTATCAATCAGAATGCAGGA